TCTGTGTTGTCTTCTACATAAAGTACATGTAGGCTATTTTATGCTAAGTGTAATTGACATATTTATGTACTTAATATAAATACCCTGCAATTGTACTTTTGGTAAACTAAATTGATACACTCCTAAACTAGAACAACTAATAATCCACTTTATCTAGAAATAGTGCTGAAGTTCAACAAGATACATTTAAAGTATATTTATTTTATCATGCTAAAGTGGAACTATTGCAATTATACTTTAGGTATACTTTAAATATCTTCATTTAAAGACTGATATTATACAGAGATCATGCAGTTGCGCAGTAAAGGAGTATTCCAAATAAAGTTTAATTATAATATTTATATCAATAAGTCCCAAGCGATATATCAGTAAATATGTTAATGAATTTGTAGTATACTTAGTATGAAATAAATGTATTTTAAATACATTTTGATATAGGTTTTTTCACTAGGGCAACCAATAAGTGAAACGACAAATAGTTATTTTATCAGTACCATGCAGTGCAAAGATAGTTCTTCCAAGAATCTGGCAAGAAAAGCTGTTTCTAGATATTTCACAATCTTCTTAAAGCTCATCATGTTACTGTACAAAGAACTGAGAGAAAAGGAGAGAGCATTTCATCTCACTGTTCTTGTTTCAGGTTTGGACAGTCTGGACGTTTTAGCACCCTCCTGCCAGCAGAATCACCCAGGGTGCACGAAGATAATAATGAAAGTCCTGTGATATGGTACGGTCACGTTGGCTTGCCAGTGAGTGAGTCATGGGAAAGAATGAGGAATTGTGTCCAACATCACTTCCTCATCTCACAAACCGACCTTCCCTCTTTCAATGTAATGCCTTGTTTCTTTCTTTTTTTGCAGTTGCCATAGTTCATTCATTCTAGAAACAATAATGTCTCTCAACCCTTTTTGCTCCTCTTGTGCAACATTGAATCCTCTTTCAGGAAATGAGATATTCAAACCAGATAACAAAGGAATATCGCTCACTCTCAGTGTCTGAGCAAGTCGATACTTTAGTTCTGTATTGTGTTTGCTTGTATTTTGTCATAGTGTTTTACTTATTTTAACAACCCCCTAACCATAGAGGTAATAAAATTGGCTGAATAACTCGCCCTGCACAGTTTGAGCTACTAAAATTGTGACTTGTTGTGCACTGCAAAAATGTGTTTTTCTTACCTCAATAACAGATATTAACAGATATATTTTAATGAATGTTGTTTTTGAAAGGAATAGTTCACCCAAAAACGAAAATTACCCCACCACTCACTCTCAAGCCATCCTTGGTGTAAATTACTTTCTTCTTTCAGCTGAACTCAGTCAGAGATATATGAAATTATAGCCTGGTTCTTGTAATGGCATTGAATAGTGCCCGAGTTTTTGAAGCATGAACAAGTGTACGGCCGTTGCCAGAAGCCAGTGATTATAGTTTTATAAAGTTTTAAATATGGATATTTTTCTTACAAAAACCCATCACTTCGCTTCAGAAGGCATTTATAAACCCACTGGAATCATATGGATTACTTTTATGATGGAGGGATGCACTTTTTATGGCCTAAAAACTCGGGCACTTTTCAATGCTATTACAAAGCTAGGAAGAGCCAGGATATTATTTAATATAACTCTGATTGTGTTTGGCTGAACGAAGAAAGTCATTTACACCTAATGGCTTGAGGGTGAGTAAATTATAGGATAATTTTCATTCCTTTAAGACAAGTGATCTAACTCATGATTGTGTGCTTTTAACTTCGTCCAGCAGGTAGCCGACTACCAACCACCCAGAACACCGTAGACCAGAGATGTAGCAACCACACGGCAACCTGCTAAAAATCATTCATAAACACCTTTGCAACATCCTGGCAACCCATAGCATCATGGTGGTGAGTGCAGAAATGGCTCTTTCTGGATGTAAGCTTACTAGCAGACACAAATTAGTAAACACAGTTGTCAGTCCTACACTTCTCTCTCCTAATTATAGTTTTTATATTTAGATCATGTCTACTACTGGTTTCGTGACCAAAGTCAGTCTAAAGGCAGTTATTTACAGTTCTGCACCTGAATTGAGGCTGTTTAAGTAAACACTGAATGAAAAAAATGCTTTTAATTAGGGTTAAAAAGCATTGCATCTGCCCCATACTGGTGTGAGCAGCAAGCTATCTGTTTGATTGGCTGGAGATTTGATCACTCTCCAGTTGATGGACACGCCTCCTTCTCTGCACTAATTTGATCAATCTAGTAATTATTGCGAGCAACAGCTGGTGTGGAGGTGGAGTATGTTCTGTGTTGAAGAAAGGAGAGAATTATGTTGAAGTAGCAGCTGGTAGGCAGTGCCGCACGCACATTGTTCTCTTTTTTGGTTTCTTTTTCCTATCCGCAGTAAACATGTTATATACATATACACACACTCCTGGGAAAATAAAAATGGACAAGCCCAAAATGGCCAAACAAACACTAAGCTTTTAATTGTCTTAAATACAAATTATTGGTCAGGAAATTAGCAAAATTGAAGCAAATCCACTACTTAAAAATCATCAGACTGAAGTTTTTGGCAGAATATGGGTTGTCACAATGTAACACGAGTTGCGTGGTGATGCTCCAGAGCAGTGTCTTCGAAAATCTGCTGAGAAATATAATAATAAATGCATCTCTTCCACAGTGAAGCATGGAGGAAGAGTGTCATTGTGTGGGGAGCCTTTTAGCTGCTGGTGTTGGTGAGATGCTTCACTGTGAAAAGTCATTTAATGCTTTGGAGTAGAGGAGAATATTGCAGAATGGCTTGCTTCCCACAAATGCGGAATGATCAGATATTATTGTTCAACAAGACAATGCTCCTGCCCAAATTGCAAAGACAACCAAGAAGTGGCCTGAGAACAACTCTGAGCTGGTCCGAGTCCAGGTTTGAACCCTATAATGAATATTTAGTCTCACGTTAAACTCAAAACGAACTGGGAAACATTTTTCAACTACCAAAGAACGGGTTGAAGCCATCAACATTAACAACACTGACTCTTCCTCCTGTAAAAAGCTGTCTGCAAGTTGGGAAGGCTATTCTGTGCTATTCTGTGCTAAGTTACTTTATCTACACTATTTGTGAATGCTTGCTAATTTCCTGACCAGTGATTTGTAAACAGATAAATGGGCATATAATAGTGGTGATATTACATAAATTTTAAAAAATGACCATGTTTACCACGGATAGGAAAAAGAGAAAGAAAGCAAGCAATACACATACATATTTGTATAAGTGTGTGAGTGGTCAGTGTACTTAAGTCACATTTGGCCTCACCTACTTTTCCCAAACACCCCGCACTCCATATAAGAGAACTTGACACAATCACATGGCACACAAAGGATGCACGCCATGTACACAGGAATCCAGACTGCAGCTATATTAGGAACGAAATTCCACCCCTGAGAACAGGCTGTGAACTTTGAAGTATTGTATGATTATACACTCCAGCACAAACACGCTGACAGATGCCCTTTAGTAACACAGGCCGTTTAAAATGGAGGTAAAGTAAAACCATGTAGTTCAACAGTGTTTTTACAGACAAACCACTCCAGAAAAGTCCTCAATATATAACTAGATTTGTATTGAAGTTCACAGTGCTTTCAAGCTCTTTGCTGTCCAGAGTGACGCAGGAAGGAACGAGACATTCTGTTGAAATGAATCACTATTATAAAAACCACAATCCCGCCCTTTCCAGTGGTTGATGTAGTGCTGTCCTTGTGCTCCCTTCAGTTAACAAACATCTGTTTCCATGAGCAGATCATGCAATAAACCCAACATGCTGAAAATATGGCCATACGCATCTAAATGTAATCCTGTCACACTACATTTTTCCTTATTTTGTGATAAAAGAGGCTAACCAATTTTGAGACGGTGGGCTGTCAGGATGCATCTCCAACTTTAAACACCACATTAGACTTGTTTACTCGTGAACGACTGGATTTCATCAACTTTTCCATATTCACAGCCAGCTCACGATTAAGCCTCCATGTTCCTTATTCAGATGTTCACAAATATACATTTTCTAAGATCTCTCAGTAAACTAAATGAATCAAACGTACAGTAGCAACACTTAGTCCATAAAACTCAAATAATAATACCAATAATATTAAAAGCACCAAGAAACATAGTAAATAGTATTTCTACATGTTGTAGCACCAGTCGGTTTCTGTCATACAAAACACAGTTGGATTTTGTTCAAATAATATTCAATGAAGAAGGGATTATTTACAGGCTGGTATGTTCTGCAAAGAATGTATGTGCCTGTGATCTTTAAAAGTCGCAGTGATCAAGGGCGCAGCTGCTCTCCACAGTGAAGCTGCTTGACATTCCAGTTTCCAAATCACTGGAGGAAAACTAACTCAAACAGTGAGGTCCAAGTCTGAGACCACCTTGAAAACCTGGATTTGTTTTGTTTTGTTATTAAGCCTCCAAATAAATGTAAAACTGATCCCCCCCCCCCATAAGTAATTGTGCAACACTGACTACATGAACTCTATTGTACAGACTCTTGTACAACTCCACTGTCGCTGTCATTAAAGCAAAAGGGGGATGAACCAAATACAAAATTTATATATATTTTTCAATTTGAGTTTCCACTTATATTGTTCTGCATAATGTTCAAAATGAAATTAGTATTAAATTAGAAAAATGCTAAGAAAAAGTGCATTTTCATTAGTGGTCTCAGATTTTCAGACCCTAATGTTTTTTACTCAAATAATGTCTGATTATCTATATATTTTTTCATGTTGAAATTTTAGGTATACTTTTTTTTCTTTTATAAAATAAATGTTATTGTCAAACAGACTAACAGCTGGAAAGTATGTAAAAGGATACAAAGATCCCACATTAAACACCAAGTAAAGTGTGTCGTCAAAAGTCCTTAAAAAGTTTCTGAATGCTTAATTATCATATTTTAATACAATGAACTTGACTAAATCCATCAGCCATAACATATGTTTCAGTTAAAATGGTGTCCAGAATTGATTACTCACCTTTATCAAGGAGAAAGAAACTGAAACGTTGAAGTTTGAAACGTGGTTGTGGAGGAACCACCCTAAACACACGTAAAAATCGGATCTAGACAGACTGAAACCAACACCCTAAACAATCCGCTCAACAGGTTGGCTCAGTCCGAGTGGGTTGAGTTTTGAATGAAGGATCCTTTTCTCTGGGAGAGCAACTCTGATAGTTTTTAGTTTGTCATGCACGCTCAGGCTAAATTGATTCTACTGGGTGGACACAATGATTCACACTGGCTCTAAAACAATGCTTTGCATTGTGTTTTAGGGTTGAAGGAAACGTTAATAAACTTAGCTTAAGCAGTACTGGTTATTTTCTGTCAGGACATTATTCATTTTTCAATGGATTATTTACAGTGTACAGCCTTTAAAATAATGTTCCAAAAGGGTGTTTTTTGCAGCGATGTTCATTTTTGGTTCCTCAAAGAACCTTTCAGTGGACAGTTCTTAAAATAATCGTTTTTTTTCTTAGTGTAAAGAACATTTTAAAGAACCGTTTATCACCATAAAGAACCTTTTGTGCAAAGGTTCCATGTATATTACAGGTTATTCATGGAATCATAGATGTGATTAAAGAACCTTTATTTTTAAGAGTGTACAACACTGAGGAACAGAACAGGTAAAATTAATATAAAAATTAACTGCTATTATTATTATTTTAGCATTCCCCCCATGCTTCAATAATGCATTTCAGCATTTAAGTCAATTTATTATAAAAGTTATCCAGACCACCTACTGGAAAAAAAAAGACTTGAGTTTTATCTCGCAAGGCCAGCCAGTGTTTGAACATCTCTCAGCCAAAATAACCTCAGGCATTAAAAAATTACTCACATGCATTTTTGCCGGCCCATAACTGAGAATCTTTATTAAAGCGCCACTTGGAGAGATTACTGAAAATGTATAGAATAAATTTACAGATTCAAAATAACAGCAGCTCAGTTTTTTTTGTAGTTTTTTTTTTGGGCAGGAACTGTGATTAATGAATAAATTAAATGGTTGAAAACTGTTGAAACGATGGAAAAACTACATTGAAATGAAGTACAAGTGAGAAGTGGAGCTAGTTAGCCATCTGTAGTTTCTAGTCTTCTACTCGATCAAATATCCCATGGAAAGTTTCAGCGGATTACGTCCCTGATCCTTAGATTTTGCTTGCATCTTCTTCACCCCTGTCAAAAAGATAAGGCACATTTGAAACAAGTTTTTTCTTTTAATGCTAAATTTTGATTTCAAAATGTGCATCATTTTACTGAGATGGTAAAGTTTAAGTGTGGATTTGACGTTGAGATCAGGTGACCTACTTTCTTTTTTGTTTGCACTGCCCCCCTGTGAAGAGAACAATCTGTTACTCTTTCTGTGAGTATATAAAGTCAAACATAAGGTTTTCGTTAGGTAGAAAATGCGTGTAAAAATTCGGAGCTACTTACAACACAAAACTGTAACCCCTCCTGCTACAAGCAGGGCTGTGAAGACCAAACCCCCGATCCTCAGCGCCTCGTAGTCTAAAAAGTGCAGCAGTCAGCAGCTAGCCAATTTTAAGACTGTTTAATTTAGCTTAAAAATGATATTAAAAATAACGTTTAATAAATGGATATTTATTATATTTATGTATTACTATTAACTAATACTATTATAAATGTGTGTGTGTATGTGTGTTAGTGCTGTCAAATCGATTAATCACATCTAACATATTTTTAATAATATATAACAACATAATAATAGTATTTTATAACATAATATATGTGTGTGTGCGCATTAAATATAATGTGTGTTAATAAATGTAATAAATATAAAATAGCTATGTGTGTGTATGTATATATATATATATATATATATATATACACACACACACAGCTATTTTATATTTACTATATTTATTAAGTTTTATTTATTAGAAAATCATGAGCATCTGCCTCAGAATACTTACTGTAAACAAAAGGATCTGCAAAGGCAAAAAAAGAGGAGAAAAGTTAGATCGCTCTTGAAAACAGACAAAAATACTGCCAGAAATGTTCTCATTGCATAAGACTGATAATCTCAAATGTTGAATAGTAATGTAAGAATCAAACACTTCTGCCTTACTTGCTTCAGCTTGACTGAAGAGCGCCAAGAGGACTACAGATGAAAATGAAGATATGTGACAAATCACTCACAAAGAAGGAGATCATTACTGACATTAACAAGTATTCTATCAAATCACTAAGTCCAAGTATACTGTAAATGTGGACGGAAAGTCTCTTTTGAATGTTTGACCTTCAGGCCCAAGGTCACAGATCTGTCTGTGACCTTTACTGTGGACATAAACAGTCATGACTTACCTGTAAGGAGAACTAGTTCTGTGAGCTTCTTCATTTTTACCCCTCCTGGTCAAGGACACACACACACACACACACACACACAATAAATTAGTCTTTTTTTTTTTGTCTCCTAAAGGGATTGTCCACCAAAAATGAATAAATAAATGAAATTCTGTCATTTACTCATGATGACTGGGGCTCTAAAATGACAAAAAGCACCATAAACGAATCATAAAAGTGATCCATACAACTTGTTTCTGAACAATGTCAGAAGTAATAATGTTTAACATGCAAGTGAATTCTTTTGAGTCTTTTTTATGAATCAGTTGATTCAGATCCTTCTTGAATCAGACTGATTCAGTTCTCTTATAATCACCTGAATTGTCCAGTCAGCCCACTGTAGTGGTAAATTATAAGTGAATGACAACGTAAATTTAGGGCTGTTCCTTACACAAAGCTTTGATAAGGTTTCAGAAGACAGCGCTCATCTTTATGATGTTTTTTTTTCAGTCCCCATTCAGCTTCATTACATTGAAAAGAGTGGCCAACATTTATGTTCCATGAAAAAAAAAAAAAAAAAAAACAGGTTTGAACATCATGAGAGTGAGTAAATGACAAAATGACAACTATTTTACAGAAAAACTTAAGATAAAACATACTAATGATTTATTTTGAAATCATTTTCAGTATACATCACTAACAAAGTCAGCATGGGCTACTTGCAGCACTTATAATTAGATCTAATATGTTTCTTTCCCATGTGCAGGTCAGTGGTGAGACGCAGAATGTTTGTTAAGAAACTCCAGCTGTAAACGCAGCTGAGAGAAATCAGCGCTCGTGTTTTAAAAGTAAACATAGAAACGACGGGTCAACGCAGTCGGGACGCAGGACACTGCTGGTGTACCCTTGAACGCCTGGAGGTGTTTTGGAAAATTTGCCCTCCCACCTCCTCTGGTTATGGAATCATCTTAGAGTGCTTTGGATCAGAAAATCAGCACTTTCTTGATCTCACTGACCACACATGTGCCCTGAGACCGATGTCTATGAAACGCTATTTCTTTCTCAAGTTGTTTCAAACCTCTATGAATTTCTTTCTTCTGCTGAACACAAAGATATTTTAAAGAATGTCGGTAACCAGACAGTTGATGGACCCAAGTGACTTCCATAGTATGAAAAAAAATACTATGGAAGTCATTGGAGTCCATCAACTGTCTGGTTACCGACATTCTTCAAAATATCTTCATTTGTGTTCAACACAAGAAAGAAATTCATAGAGGTTTGAAACAACTTGAGGGTGAGTAAATAATGACACAATTTTAATTTTTAAGTGAACTAATCCTTTCATGCTTCGTATAGTCTAAAAAGTTACTATGATTATCTTTTAAAACATAATTCCTCTGAATTAAGCCTTAAATTAAGGTTCCAGAAGGGGGTTTTCGCAGTGATGCCATAGAAGAACCATTTTTAGTTTCCCAAAGAACCTTTCGTTGAACATTTGAATAATCTAAAGAACCTTTTGAGAAGTGGAAAGGTTCCTTGGAGGTTCTTTATGGAACCATCAATACCAATAAAGAACCTTTATTTTTTTAGAGTGTTCCAGGGAATATTTACACAAATTTCATGTAAAATAATTCTTGAAATGTCCACATATCTAAAATCCCATGGGGTCACCTTCAGTTTTGCACCTGATTCTGAGAGAGATAATGACTTCATAGCAGTGTCAGAAATAACAATGGTGAGCAAATTCTTTTGAGTCTTTTCTATGAATCAGTTGATTCAGATCATTCTTTAATGCGACTGATTCTTATTATGACCTACACCTGGTCCAGCCAGCCAATTTTCAAAATGTCTACATATCTAAAATGCAATGGGGTCACCTTCAGCTTTCGGCCTGATTCTGAGAGAGAATCTTTATCTAAGCATTGTTAATCTTTAGGTAAATTAATAACTTAGACCACGAATTATGTATTTAATCACAAATGGCACTGAATCAAACATTAATGAAAATTTTCTAAAGATCCTAACTGGCATGCAAGCTAAATCAATAATATTACAGGAGGTAGTTCTTCATTACATCATTCCCATGTCACATTTAGCACAATCCATTAAATAAACTGAGCATCATCTTACCTTAGCAGAGGAACTGATGGCTCTCCGAGGCGGTAGATGTTGGATGATGCTCCTCAGGTAGGGTAAACTCACAACCTTTCTGTCTTTTCTATAACCTTTAAAAATAACTCCTCCTTACTGTATACACATAAACAAAGCCCAGCATATCAGATCGATGAATTTTGGGTGTGTGCATCACGTCATCCTGTCCACTGTTTAGCCCAAAACATGACCTGTGTGTTGATGAATTACACACAGCTCAAAAGTTGTTTAAGATGGAGGCCAGCATGAGTACACGACAAATCAATGTCCTTTAAATGTTCTTTACTAGAGGTATTAAAGCGAATGTCCTTTACGCTACAGTCAACAGTAATGTGACACTGGGCAAATAAAAAAAAAAACTAAAATTAAAAAAAAAAATCATGAATTATTTAAAAAAAGTATAGAATATATAAATATGTTTTACAATATATGTCATTATATAATATATGACTAAATGTATATTAAACAAAAAACATAAAAAATATTCAAGAATATAATTTTTTAATAATAATTATATAATAAATATATAATATATAAATATTTAGCAATATTTGTAATGATATATATATATATAACATGTTTATTATACAATTGTATTTATATACACTCACCGGCCACTTTATTAGGTACACCTGTCCAACTGCTCGTTAACACTTAATTTCTAAGCAGCCAATCACATGGCGGCAACTCAGTGCATTTAGGCATGTAGACATGGTCAAGACAATCTCCTGCAGTTCAAACCGAGCATCAGTATGGGGAAGAAAGTTGATTTGAGTGACTTTGAACGTGGCATGATTGTTGGTGCCAGAAGGGCTGGTCTGAGTATTTCAGAAACTGCTAATCTACTGGGATTTTCACGCACAACCATCTCTAGGGTTTACAGAGAATGGTCCGAAAAAGAAAAAAACATCCAGTGAGCGGCAGTTCTGTGGGCGGAAATGCCTTGTTGATGCCAGAGGTCAGAGGAGAATGGCCAGACTGGTTCGAGCTGATAGAAGGGCAACAGTGACTGAAATAACCACTCGTTACAACCGAGGTATGCAGCAAAGCATTTGTGAAGCCACAACACGCACAACCTTGAGGCGGATGGGCTACAACAGCAGAAGACTCCACCGGGTACCACTCATCTCCACTACAAATAGGAAAAAGAGGCTACAATTTGCAAGAGCTCACCAAAATTGAACAGTTGAAGACTGGAAAAATGTTGCCTGGTCTGATGAGTCTCGATTTCTGTTGAGACATTCAGATGTTAGAGTCAGAATTTGGCGTAAACAGAATGAGAACATGGAACCATCATGCCTTGTTACCACTGTGCAGGCTGGTGGTGGTGGTGTAATGGTGTGGGGGATGTTTTCCTGGCACACTTTAGGCCCCTTAGTGCCAATTGGGCATCGTTTAAATGCCACGGCCTACCTGAGCATTGTTTCTGACCATGTCCATCCCTTTATGGCCACCATGTACCCATCCTCTGATGGCTACTTCCACCATGTCACAAAGCTCTAATCATTTCAAATTGGTTTCTTGAACATGACAATGAGTTCACTGTACTAAAATGGCCTCCACAGTCACCAGATCTCAACCCAATAGAGCATCTTTGGGATGTGGTGGAACGGGAGATTCGCATCATGGATGTGCAGCCGACAAATCTGCGGCAACTGTGTGATGCCATCATGTCAATATGGACCAAACTCCCTGAGGAATGCTTCCAGCACCTTGTTGAATCTATGCCACGAAGAATTGAGGCAGTTCTGAAGGCAAAAGGGGGTCCAACCCGTTACTAGCATGGGGTACCTAATAAAGTGGCCGGTGAGTGTATATATGAGACTTGTAATTCTGTAAATGGCCTCAAGTCATTTTGATATTATATTTATTAAAAAATATAAGAATATGAATATACATATACAGTGCCTTGTGAAGGTATTCTTACCTTTTAATTTATTTTTTTATAATTTTTTTTTTAACATTTTGTCATGTTGCTGCTTTGTTACACAACTTTAAAAAATTTTTTTTTTTTTTTATCAATCTGCACTGACAAAGCAGAAAACAGATTTGTGACAACTTTGCAAATTTATTAAAAAGAAAAAACTGAAATAAGTACATTGCATAAGTTTTTTGTCCCCTTAACTTGAAGCACCTTCAAGCCTTTTTGGGGTATATGGTGCGACAAGCTTTGAACATCTGCATTTGCCGATTTTCTGCCATTCTTCTCCTCAGATCCTCTCAAGCTCTGTCAGGTTGGATGGGACCGTCGGTGGACAGACATTTTCAGGTTTCTCCAGATGTTGGATTAGGTTCAAGCAGGCTCTGGCTGGGCCACACAAGGATGTATGCACAGAGTTGCCTATAAGCCACGAGCTCTTGCATTGTCTTAGCAGTGTGCTTAGGGTCACTGTCCTGTTGGAAGGTGCCCTTCTGCCCAGTCCGAGGTTCTGAATGCTCTGGACTTGGTTTTCATCAAGGCTAACTCTATATTTTGCTGCGTTGAGCTTTGTTTTCTGACGAGTCCCCCAGTTGTCATGTGTCCTCGCTGAGGAGAGGCATTAGTATGGCCACTCTCACATAAAGCCTAGATCAGTGGAGTGTTGCAGTCATGTTTGTCCTTCTGTGATTTTCTCCCATCTCCATATACCTGTATGATCATGTACAGTATCTCAACCAGAGTGACCATCAGCTTCTTGGTCACCACTCTAACCAAGACCCTTCTCCATCGATCGCTCAGTTTGGCCAGGAGGCAAGAGTCCTGTGGCCGCTTGCATAAACTGCTTAGACTAGTCTTAAAAGTTAGTCATCTATTTTTTTCTTCAAAACTGGTCCTTTTTAAAGCCAGTTGGGTAGATCGGTCTAATTTGAATTGGAAAAGTAAGACTGCTCATCACTTGTCTAACTGCTAGTTGGTCAAACTAGTTCTTAAGACACAGACTTAACAAAGTGGCTAAGTTTATGCAACTGACCCAACTGTGAAAGCAGTCTTCAAGAAAGAAAGAAGGGGAATACTTTTGCAAGGCACTGCATATATCATTATATTTTGGCAGTCTGGAAAATATTATTCATTCAATTTGATATTAATTGTGCATTGCCAAAATTGAGCACATTTGCAGATGTTCACAAGCTAAAATATCTGGAAATGCATCAAGGCAAGTAACCAATTGAGTGGTTATAAGCAAAGTA